CGTATACGCACAGGATTTTTATGCTATTCATATTATGACCAGTCAGACATGTTCTTCAAACACTCTTACCCTCCCATACTGATTTTGATATACCCAAGTTACAGCACCCACAGACGTAGACGAATAGATAGATAGATAGATAGATAGATAGATAGATAGATAGATAGATAGATAGATAGATAGATAGATAGATAGATAGATAGATAGATAGATAGATAGATAGATAGATAGATAGATAGATAGATAGATAGATAGATAGATAGATAGATAGATGCTTAAAGTGCCTACAGTTCGCTAAGAAATGCGTCGCTTTTAAGGAACTAATTACCGGCTGCAGCAAACTGTTGAACTAAAGAGTGTTGTTCTTTTGCCAATTTTAATCAATTTCAAATTTGTTCATTATTATTACATCACGTGTTGCAAAGTAGCCCATAATGTTTTTTTTTAAGTATGTACTTTGTGTTGGATAGATTAAGCTATGTCCAGATTCATATGTGACTGTGTTCTAGCGCCGTTTTAGTGCCGTTTCTAAATCGGCGTACCACGTGGCCAGCTCAATGATACATCCATTGGAGGGGGGTGGGGGGTGGAAAGCGAGTTAACTCAGCCTTTTATACATTTTAGTGTGTGTATTGGTATGTGTACGTGCATGCACATTTAAGCAACATTAAAGATTTTCGGAAGTGAGGCGAGGGGGTCGTACCCTTGAGCAGAGGTATAGGTAGAAATTGTATCGGGAGGGGGGGGAGGGGGGAGTGCACTCTTTGATATCTTGATAAGGTCATTTTTCGATTTGTGTGCCAGGGAAAAAAAACGGGGGGGGGGGGCACTGCCCTTATTTCCTCCTCCTCCTCCTTTCCTAACCCCCACTACGACAATGACCTGAAATGTCTTTACTGGAAACGGTGAAATGGTCTGTGCGCGTGTCTACTTAGCTAATCTGGGCACTGCACTCCCAACCAAACGCCACTACGGAATTCCCTCGCCCACTATATTTCCAAAACAAGGTCAGTCAAGCACGCAGCCAGCTGTTCTTTCGCAACAGCCGCGTAGCGATCAAAACAGCTTGCCTAGCCATAGAGTATCCAACAAACGACGAGTCACTCAATTGTGGAACAGGAATGTCATTGCAACGCCCACCACATGTCAAAGAAAGGGCGCCCTGCGTATTCATCCACTGGGGAAGCGATCGTCCACGCACCATTGTATCGTGGAGAAGCTTTGTTTAGGGCACGCCCTCATCGGACGAATCAAGGTCGTGCAGTTGTTTTCCCGGCCTTTCCGACAGAGACTATGGTCGTTAATGTCGGACGTATTTTTGGGGGACGCGTTTCGCTTCATTGCTCAGGACGAAAATTCTTCAATCGATTATTGCAACGTGCTGACGAATCGCGATGAAAGTGCGGTCGCTACGTCGCTCGATATTCGATCACTCAAAAGTTCTGCATTCACAAAGCAGAGCTTTCACCATTACCCTTACCGTTCTCTTTCCCTTTCCCAATAAAAAAAATGAATAGGCGCAGCTCCTGATAAGAACAATAGACGATCCAATACAAGGGGACTCATGTACTTTTGAAAGCTCCCAACGTACAGTTTAACTTTTGCCGAGATAACAAATGCAGTGGACTTTACCTTATAAAGAGTCTCATTGTGGAAAAGCCACCTTCGAAGAACATTGCGATGAGCATCAGCGTTAATCGTTTCGAATCCATAACTGGAGTTTTAAAAGGAAGGGGGAAATAAACTTTGGTCTCATAGAAGCATCTAACTGTGACAATGACGATACCCTAGCTTACACCACTTCATGTTGAATGGCTGGAGTGCGGAATGCAGCCTTCTTTGTAAAACGTCCCTCATTAGAGCACAGGTTGTGTCACTACATGAGCGCAGCAAGATACCGGAGTTTTCGATGATCTGCTGCTTCTAGCGCGAAATATTTTTTTAGACAAAGCACGAAACAGACACGGCACCTCAAGTGCAACGTGAAAGTATAAGGCGCATACGCATGGCATCGATATCGTTGACAAAGAAGTAAATGGTCTTTTCGGAGAGGGCACTACATCCGTGGAAGTAAGAAGTTGGTGCGCGCTAGTACACTGCGCACATGTGTGACTGGTTTTTCAGTTCAGCTTGAAGTTTGCATCTGTTCCTGTCTGTTTCGTCGTGTGACTGAATTTTTCTTCACGCGAGTATCGAACTATAGTTCGAACCCACACTGCCCACGCCTTGTGGAACTTTCGATAATCGGCACACTTTGCTTTGCTGACTTCGTGCAACAGACTTGCTGCCTCGATCGGCGCTACCTGCAGGAGCCCGGAAACCATGTCACGCATAAGTGCTGCACTTGTACAATAGCTGCTCAGGACATGATCAGATATTAGTTAAACTAGTCAAACAATACAAGTTCAGCTTCCTATAGACTACAGAACTTGGGCGGGCCAAGGCGGGAGGGAAGAGATGAGCTGTACCCTTTCTGATACAAATGTCTCTGCTCCCTTTGCACGAGAGGTACGCGAAGAGTGTATGTATATTACGATGGTTCCGCAAAACTCCAGCGTCCGTCTGGTAAAGTGGTTGTAGGGTAAGAGCTATTACCATCAGCTTTAAGACTGACCACTTTAAAACATCGATAGCTGTGGAACTAGCCGTCCTGCTCGCTGCGCTTTGCTCATAGTAAATCGGGAACCACCTCGGCAATGGTAGATCTTCAGCGGTTCAAAGGCAGCCCTACAATCTGTACTGTCAGCTCTGTGTCGTGGGGCATACGAACAGCTCGTATTCGAAATTAGATGTCTTCTCTATACATTACATGAAAAAGAGCACCACGTGACACTTGAGGCTGCCAAGTTACTGCGGCATCATTGGGAACGAACACGCCGATAATTCCACTCGGTCAGCTCTTGAAGGCACACAGGAGGAGACCTTAGTACCACTTTTAAGATCCGACGCTGCCAGTAGACTTCGAGTGTTTGCACAAGGAGAAAGAGATCGAGAGAGGTTTATATATGAGAGAAAAACTGAGAGGTCGGCCTGAATCAATTTTCAGACCTGCTACTCAGCGTTAGCTAAGGGAAGGGCGTGGTAAAGAAATTATAAAGACGGTGTTGACTATGATGGATCGAAATCTTAAAAGCTTAGAAGCTATTTACAGTCTTTTTTCGTGTTCTGTATCTCGCAAAAACTTGATTGATTGATTGATTGATTGATTGATATTTGGGGTTTAACGTCCCAAAACCACCATATGATTAAAGATGCCGTAGTGGAGGGCTCCGGAAATTTCGACCACTTGGGGTTCTTTAACGGGCGCCCAAATGTGAGCACACGGGCCTACAACATTTCCGCCTCTATCGGAAATGCAGCCGCCGCAGCCGGGATTCAAACCCGCGACCTGTGGGTCAGCAGCCGAGTACCTTAGCCCCTAGACCACCGTGGCGGGGCTCTCGCAAAAACTTGGTCACAGTTTTGAAAACACCGCGCTGATGACGACGTGTAGGTCCCCCCCCCCCAACCCCCCCCAATCCCGCCAAGGAATAATTCCTTGCAGCGCCACCACACCGCTATAGGAGAGGAAACAAAAAAATGTTAAAATATAAGAATACAAAAAGAAAAGCATGCGTTTGCTGGGGTGCCGAAGTCGCTTATACATATCCGTTGATCTCGGAGTGCCGGGTGGTAGACCTTGACTGCATTTTGCCATGTTGACTGGGTACAGCCCGGCACTGCCAGTCGTTAATATTAAATTTAAAGCGAATTCGAAGGCTGACGGAGAGAACAGCTCATGAACGATCAATTCCCGATGCGGGCACAGCGTTCTAAAGACATGCGAAGCCAAAAAGTGTGAAAGCATTATTTTTTATTTATTTTACATTTTGATATGTGAAGTTGCTCGCGGAACAAGATAACACAGCTCGTCACAAATAGCAGGTGTGGCGCCTGCTTGGTTTGTAGATTTCGCGCGGATAGGGTGCGCGGCTGTCGGTCGCATTGCACGTGTTGCCCCGACACTTCCTCATACTTTTTTTGTCTTTCACACAGAAGTGAAACTGCCGAGTCGGTATATTCTCTTTCCCTTTTACACGTACCAGTGGTGTCCAATGTAAGCAGACATAAATATACCTTTTGTAGGAGCACAACATTAATAACTTGCTCAACCCACGTGCCAATTGAGAAAGTCTTAATCTGCACAGGCTGCAGTTCTGTTACGCAGCTTTATTGCATGACATACCAATCGAAACAGCGACATTGCACGGAAGATTGTTGATTGATTGATATGTGGGGTTTAACGTCCCAAAACCACCATATGATTATGAGAGACGCCGTAGTGGAGGGCCACGGAAGATTGTTTCAACACACTCTTGATTCTCCGATAGAACGACCGAACATGGAAAACACTTGACCTTGCAGGCAGCAATCTATTGCCTAGTCGCGAAGAACCTCTCTTTGTCATCTTCAAATTTAGTTAGCCTTCCTACTGAGAGGGCAACATTGTACGCGCTAAACACACCACGGAGGCTGGCACTACGGGCCACGCGCATGCTCAGTTCAATATTCACTACATATGCCAGACATATTCGCGGCCAAGGACGACAAAGAAAAGACCGACTATACAGAGACGTAACTCACGCCCACGCCTGTCCTGATCACGACCGATCCCTCTAAGCCAGCCCGCCAATCATCCGCCCATTACAGCTGTTACGGGGCCCTTATGGAGGGCCAGGCAACGATGGAAAATGAAGCGACCCATCTAACAAGCCCGTCTCGCGCACTCTCTCACTTGCGTCACCAGGTGGAACAGAGAGAGTGGTCCAGACGAGCAGCAAAACATGGGCAACGCAGCCGTCCTATAGGCCGTCTCTACAGCGCCGTCGCAGATGAGTTGTCAGTCGTGAAAGGCGGAATGAAAACGTTATAAAGAACGTCGCGCCGCCGAAGCAACACACAAACAGAAGAGGCACGCGACGGAGACCGGCTTTTCCGGCGGCGATATCGTCGTAGCAACCGCCGCACCAGCACGGGCCGAGGAAGCGCTTATATAGAGACGCGAGGGGGCGTCGCAATCACTGACTGTGCGCCCGCGCCGGAGGACACCTACAACGCGACTGACTGCCCTTCTATAAATCTATCGAGTCGTCGACGCAGACGAGTGTGCGGCCCCTGCAGCTCTCGATTTTTTTCGTGCGCGCTCTGTTGACATCGTTACCACCGGAGCAAACGTTACTACGGCCATGCAGTTCGTCCAGCAGATTCCGGGCCTGCTTCTTCTGGTGACATTGCTGTGCTGCGACAGCATCCGAGCACAGGACTCCTCTAACATGGCTAACATGACGAGCATGATGGCCAACGCGACGAACATGACGGCCAACGCGACGAGCCCGACTAATGTGACGAACGCGACGATGGTTGAGTCGCCGATGCCCGCCCAAATGCCAATGAACATGACACAACCGCAACAGCAGCAACCGTCAATCTGGACCACCGAGGAACTGGTCACTGACCTGTCGCTTCCCGGCGCGCCGAACGCGACGCTGGACGTCAGGTACAACGACTCGCTCCAGGTGACGCTGGGCAACAAGCTGACGCCCCTGCAGGCCAGTACAGCGCCCACCGTGTGCCTGAGAAACGTCAGCGTCGGCTGCGAGCCACCGTTCGCGCTGCTCATGGTGGACCCAGACGCGACTAGCCGTCAGAACCCACAGTTCCGGAGCTGGCTCCACTGGATCGTGGTCAATGTCAACTCCACCGAGAAGCTCCACGAGGGTGACCAGGCTGTGCCGTACAACGGACCCGCGCCGCCCAAGGGTTCTGGACCTCACCGGTATGTCTTCCTGCTGTACTGTCAGCGCGGTCGGCGACTCCAGGGATCCGAGTTGGCTCCCGAAAAACGGAAGAACTTTAACCTCGCCGAATTCGTCAACAAGACAGAACTCGGACCACCCCTGGCCGGGAACTTCTTTTTCGCCGAGAATCCATAAAAAGGGGGACAGTGCTTTATTCCTCGAATGCTTCGAACTGGTCACCGTCTTCTCCTTCTATAGAAAGTACGCGTGTGCTAGAAAAAAACGCATGTGTGGCATTAGGGCCTCAATGCGAAAGTTGGTCGATGAATGGACATGTAGGGATGTTGCGTAAGCAAAAGTACGAGTCGGGCTTTAGAAGCAGTGCATTGAGTTCGTCTGTAGTCAGCTCTGTCGATCGAAGTTCCACGCAGATAACGCTAGCCGTCATTTTTAGACCACACAATAACTTCGACGAGTACAGACTGACAGCACAAATGAGCGCTCACTGTGATAAGACTATTATGTACCTATACAGTTTACATGCTCTACACGAACGCCCTGTTCAATGTTTTCTCCCGCATCATCAGTCTTCTATTGTTTTTGTTCCTTCATTCCCTTCTTTATAGACTGCAGAAAATACAACCCCCCCTCCTCCTCCTCTCACAGCTTCAAAAGAGCCATTTTAGCACCATAAACGCGATTGCTCTGCATTGTTAACGTTTCTACACCCACTTCTGCAGCCGTGCAATCGCTAGCTTCTCCATTTTCTTTCCCACAATTTTTTTCTGTAACACTTCGTACTAAAGATAAAATTGCGTTTGATCCGCCCTGTTTGAAAGAAAGACCTGTATTTAGTCATTACTTTTCGAGCAATGTTGTAAATCGAAAAGTCAATAAAGTGCTTCTGCACATCATTTTCGAATGAGCGTACATTTGCCCGACAAAGTGTGTTTCTTTTGAGTCGCTATGAAACGCACAGTCGTGGTGATAACTTCGTGTTATGAACAGTTCACCGGTGGTTAATTTTTCGACGGAGTTCGTTGTTTATTTAATTCGTAACTTATTAAAATTCGCGATTCCGCGCGAAGCTTGCCTATACGTGATTTAGTAAATGTATACAGCTCAGAGACCTACGCAGCACTGTATTTCTTTTATAATTTGTACAAGTTAGTAACTGTTGCTAGTAGTACTGCCTTTACCGAGTACATTTACTAACACGGTTACAGGCATGAGACAGGCCGTTAGTACCTGATAATTAGTAGCTACGACCACCTCTTCTCGAAAGCTTTACGTGTGGAGACCAATTTACAAAAGTTATAGTCTCTTATTGGCCGGGTAAGTATGAGTTATCACACGTTTGTTAACCAAGGACCCGTTAAATAGGCCTCCGTGCAGTTAAAACGAAAACATAACTATTAATTAACGATTTGAAAAAAAAAACGGTATTGACAGGGTATACCATGCAAGTACGAGAAAGTTTGTCGCATACGATTATTCTAGATAAAAACAACCTCGGCACATCAGGTCAAATACAAAGCATTTTCTTATTAATCAAGTAAACAGGAACACTTGATAGAAGAAGGAATAGCACAAGTACAAATGTTACTAATAGAGCAAAACTATATGTGCAACCAAGCAAATTAACAAAACCCCAAGCTGACAAGAGATGTACAGTACCACCCAATGTGAAGGGGAACACTCGAATGCACACCATTAATACTGCTGGCCCTCTGACAGGAAGTGCTTAGGAAAACAATCTGCATACACATCACTATAGTCTGTGAAGAGGAGTCAAAACTTTCAACCACCAGTAGTCTTATGCATATCTAAACTATTATGATTCCGTAAGATAGCGAAATAGAAACCTGCAGTGCACTCAGGTGTTCTCTTTAACACGATATGTGGGGTTTAACGTCCCAAAACCACGATATGATTATGAGAGACGCCGTAGTGGAGGGCTCCGGAAATTTCGACCACCTGGGGTTCTTTAACGTGCACCCAAATCGGATCACATGGTCCTACAACATTTCCGCCTCCATCGGAAATGCAGCCGCCACAGCCGGGATTCGATCCCGCGACCTGCGGGTCAGCAGGCGAATAACTTATCTTTTAGACCACCATGGCGGGGGTTCTCTTTAACAGGGGACGCGTCTATACATGCAACTGTGATAGAGGTAAAATGAGTCCACATTCGGGCATCAGAAAAGTAACAAAGTAAGGAGTCGCAGCTGTCAAGTACAACATGACAGAGATAACACGAAATAAGCTCAAGTGAATAGCATAGCCCATGCATATCGCATTTTAGGAACATATTTGTAACGCCGACCCAAAAGAAGCTCTGTTTCATTCCACCGCATTGTTTGTCGGCAAAGCTCTGCACTCGGCAGTCGATAGCACAGGCGAGGACCGTATGTACTGCTGTTTAGTTCTGGTGTATATACAGATATATGAATGTATGTAAAGCCACCCCCCCCCCCCCCTTGTTTTTTCTTATCCTGAGCACGTCGACCACCCAGCTGATAAGGTCCGCATAACGAAGCTTGTCGGCGAAACGAGAGGCAATACGCGTATTCGTGAGATGAACAGCCCGGTGCAGCTGTTTTCTGCCGCGCTGTTCCGGTAACATGACATTCGTACAACAGGAACCGGCGCTTTTAGGAGGCCGACGCCAGCGCGTTCCAATTAAAAAAAAAGATAAACACGATCAAAGAAAGAACACTTTTTCTGTTGTTGTTGTTCTTGCATTTAAGTTTTCGTGCAGTCTGATCCCGTTTGTCTGTAGCATCACGGTTGTCCTTTCGGCAGCTTCGGTCGACGTTTTCTTTTTTTTTTTTGCGAGAACTTGTTGAGGCCGATGTCGTAATGATACCAAATATAGTGATACGGCACGCCAGGTTCTTGCGATATAATTCAAGCGTAATTGGAAGCTTGTAGCTAATGCGTGCTACAGCAGCTGCAGACGGCGCTAGCGTCTACATGCACCCGCTCGACCGCTCCAGGCAAGTGGGATTTCAATGCTCACGCGATCAGTGAGACGTAAAAATATTGCGCGCGTTGAAGACATCACTGCGAGAGACAACATCCATAATGAATGACTTCATATTATTCAAAAGTGGAGTCTACTGCCTAATTGCATCGCCCACTCAGCTCATGACTCCTCGTCCCAAACCCTCGCGAGTGAGGGCCAAACCTCATAAGCGCGAAAATGCACGCGACAGCGACGAGCGACGCGACGTAGATCGTCTTCGCGCGATCAGTCGCTAGCGCAGGCAAACCTCATTCACGCAACGGCTTCGGCGAGCGAATTCCACTGTTGCTGGCATGAGGCCGTCTACTCGCACCAAGAAAACCGCGTAGCGAGCGGTATGCAATTTAAAAATAAGATATATTGTTGTGTAATGGAACGGAAAGTGTATTATTGCCGTGCAGCACTTTTTTATATGCACATGCGTAATAAACATTGCGTTATTTCTTGTTGTGCATACGTGACTCGGGCAGGGTCACGTGCACCTATGTAGTCTTTGTCTTTTCCGGTTTTTCGCTATTGGCTGCTTGAGCCCAGCACTTCCGGGCGATGAGCGACGGTTTCCAAATCTGGAGAACCGAGCAATCGCGCGAAAACGAGCACGCGACACGTCGCGCGAACGCCCTGTTTCGTCGCTCATAGCGTCGCTGTCGCGTGCATTTTCGCGCTTATGAGGTTTGCTCTTAAAGTTGTTCTTCGTTAGCGAAGCCTTCGCGTAGCGAACGCGGCTCTCCTACAGCGAAAAATATTGAGTGCGCGAACGGAGGCTTTTCAGACCAAGTCGAATGCGAGTCGAATAGCGCCAAAACGGCGCGTATTCAATCTTCCGTAAAACATTTTAAGCAGTGAAAAGACGCGTTCATTTCGTCCTCGATGAGAGCGAACGAGGACGAAAGACAGCGGACGCCCATAGCGTAACGGAGGTTGGAAGACGGCGGGAGCGCGAGGAGGAGGGAACGACAATGGCGAGACGACAGATTCCGCGGCGGCCACGCGCGGCGCCGTCATGCGATCGCCCATGACGTCGTCGCTAGGGTGCGTGGTGAACATAGAGTTTCCTAATATACACTAGAGGGGATTCTGGCACTAGTGTCCATGGGAGCTGCAACGCACGGCGCTTCGGCGAGCATGGGAATGATGGGTAGTACGCACATTTGTGTAATATTCGTACTTTTGGCCTGTTTTTGGCGCCGTGTGTGTTCGTGTGGCTTAGAGCTGTTTTCTTACGAAACAAATGTTAGCAAATGTTCAGCGGTCGTGCTTTACCATTTTATTCTTTTAGACTTACTTTTCCATATCGGGTCACGAAGTTCAAAAGCGTTTAATTTAAAAAAAAAACCGAAACACAGGCAATAAACGAAGCCGCAAGTACGATTCGGTGCCCGCAAGTACGAAGACTAGGCAAATATGTGTACTACCCATAGTTCCCATGGTCGCTGAGCGATCGCAGCGCCAGAGTGCCCTCTAGTTAATTTTAGGAAACTCTATGGTGGTGAGGGAGTCCATTGGTGTACCATATATGGAAATAAAGCGCCGCATGCATCAACGGAGGCCTGTCTGCGGCGGCTGCTGTGAAGCGTATGCTGAAGCGTGGCCATATACGCTGCTTCTGGCCATCTCACGGTTAGCGAGGCTGTGTCGCCTCAAGGCTTATCGCAAAATCCAAAAACACTTAAACAGCTTTGCTAGGAATTCTCATTAAGCAGTGAACTTTTTTTTCACGAATATTACGAAACTATAGAAACTGTATTTTTCGGATCACAGCAATCAAAATTTCAAGAGTAAAATCACAAGTAGAGAGAAAGAAACAAATAGGAAACTTTTTCAGATGCCTCCAGAAAGAGGGTATGAACGTCGAGTAACGGTGAATTCTGGCTGCCCAAGCCACGCCCCACCACGGTGGTCTAGAGTCTAAGGTACTCGGCTGCTGACCCGCAGGTCGCGGGATCGATTCCCGGCTGCGGCGGGTGCATTTTCGATGGAGGCGAAAATGCTGTAGGCCCGTGTGCTCACATTTGGGTGCACCACGCCCCACCACGGTGGTCTTGTGGATAAGGTACTCGGCTGCTGACCCACCGGTCACGGGATCAAATCCTGACTGCGACAGCTGCATTTTCGATGGAGGCGGAAATGCTGTAGGCCCGTGTGCTCAGATTTGGGTGCACGTTGAAGAACCCTAGGTGGTCGGAATTTCCGGAGCCCTCCACTACAGCACCTCTCATAATCATATAATGGTTCTGGGACGTTAAACCACACATATCAATCAATCAATCAATCAATCAATCAAGCCCCAAGCCACGCACCCTTATGCATGTACGCGAGCTCCTGTGTTTCCTGGATGAAATTCATCATACTTTTGCAATTGGTTCTTGTGCTTACTTGAGCGCTGTTGTAGTTTTTCAATGTTCATAAAACATTCCAAAAGATACGCCTGTTTAAGAACAGCGGTTACTGTATTCGAATACCGAATGGTATTACAGACTATTTCATTCGATACGCGAAATTTCCATATATCCGCCAGGTCTAGACGAAACTTCGTAAAGCTTTTTTTTTTTTTTTGTCATACGTGCGTTCGGGACTGTATACGCGCTATTCGTGCGCTGACGTTTTCGCATTGCATATAGCACAGTTAAATCGCCCAGCACCTGGAAGACCAAGGCTGGCTAATATCGCGACATCGCCATTGAAGTCCTCGATAACGAATAATTTGAGGAGTCATATACGTGCCAAACTGCGATATAATTACGAGGCACACTGTACAGCGCGGGACCCCGCAATGATTTTAACCACCTGTGCTCCTTTATTTAACCTGCGTCTAAATCTAAACGGGACTCTTGCATTTTGCTTATATCGAAATGCTACACGTACCATCGCCGCCAGGAGTCGAACCCACGCCTTAGAAGTT